ATGTGTACATTTAATGAATTCAATTAATTGCGCAACCATACTTTAGACTGCTATAATATGCCTCTGCAGCTCAGCAACGATGTCTCACTGCCACCTTTTCAATTTTATTATGTTAAATTCTTAAAATGCAAGCACAGTTACACGTTACAGTGACTATTTGAAGTGAGGAGCATTAGGAATGAAGAGATAGTTTGGGTTGTTTCAGTGATATTCATCAGCACTGTGCTACTTATCTCTAGCTTGACTATAATTAAAACCCCCAAACCATCTGCCTATAACAGCAGATTTAAGGTACTAATGTAATGTAAATAGGTCCGTAACTGCACATGAACTTGCAAAAAGCCACTTGGTTTTATGTCTGCAAGTGTGCTTTTATAAAGATAAGAAAATGTGCTGTAATGACTTTCTAAATGCCATAAAACAAAAGACTTGTTACATGCTCACAGCAGAGCACCACCATATAAAGGTACCTGCAGTGTGCTTCCTGGGTATGGTACGGACTGAATACTCAAAGTCTGGAACCACCTTGTTGTTGAGGTGCAGGTGGTAGTTTCTGGCTTCATCCATCAAGTCACGACAGCTCAGGTTACCTTTGATCATCTCGTCTTTTGCCACGGTTCCAGTCAGAAACTCTACTGGTAGTAGGGGCAGGCGCACCTAAGGAAAAGACAAACATACATGCGGGTGTCATGCGGATGCTAAAGTGATTATATAACACTCCTTTTACTCAGTTATTCCCCTAAAGATTCAGGTAACCAGTAAACCAGGTGATAAACTCTGACTTCTGACACACATTCAAGAATACAACACTAATATAAAAAAGAAAAGAAAAAAAAAACCTTTCCAGGCCATTCTCAAACCTGAGACATGATCTGGTCCAGCCAGGCCTCGTGATGCTGTGGGTTTGCGTTTAGCCATTTCACTGCTGCATTGTACACCTGTGTCTCCGAGTGAATATTGAGGTCGCTGGAGGACAGTAATGTACGCAAGTGCTGGGGAGACACACATGTGAAGTCCTCACACTCCACTACCTCTGTGAAGTGCTCGCAGGCGTAGCGGTCAGCCATGTCCATCAGGTCCACCCGATTGTGGCTCTCGGCAAAGGTTCGAACTGCCAGGCAGTTGGTGGGGTGAAAGTGTGCCTTCATGTATTCACAGCAGGCTCTCGCCACCAACTCAACCTATTTGAAAGAGGCAATAAATCAACTTCAAACATTATGAGTTGGATTATATAGTTCAGTGTTTTTCTAGATTAAAACTGTCATTATGCATTAATGTGGTAAATCAAAACTATACTTGAAACGCAGGACACCTCTGTTCATGTTATAATCTGATGCTAGTGCTTGTTGTGCTTGTCTACCTGAAGGATGCAGGCAGCATAAAGCAGTGGCTGGACATTATCCACAGTTAAGGTGAGCTTGGAGGAATAAGCAAAATGCACCAGGTCCTGAATGGCATCACCATCAAAGTCTTTAATTTCTATCAGTTCCTGCTTGGCTTCAGACATCTCCGACAGGAACATGGCCCTGAGGAAATGAAAAAGTCACTTGAACACAAAGATTCAAAACAAGGCACCA